CCTCGTGGATTAATACAATATTAACAATGATCACTCTGAATACCATCAGGAATGAAGTGTTAATGACTGTCTTCTTTTGCAAAACAAAGGAAAAAGAGAATGAATGACTATTCCCACTTCATTTTGGATACCTAAAAGAGGCTCCATCTAAGACATTTTATTTTTCAAGCAAAAGCCTCATTCAGTGATTGAGGCACAGTTGATTGGTTGATTAATTGATTGAAAAGCTTTGTCCACTGATGTGGATATGCATAACGACTTGCTTACTGCTTGGTTAATGTGTTCTTGCGTCCTTGTTAAAGATATCGATTTAGGTGGTTCCTACAGATCTTTTTTCCTCTTTGCCCTATGATTTGTGCTTTCTTGTAATGCATTGTTTGGACGATCCGTAGGGTTTTTTTCTTATCTCATTCTCTCATCCATCTGGAAGTTCTCCCGGTGCTGAACTGCAAATGCAGGACTTTTGCATATTCTATATTGTATACTTCGTGCATGGTTACTTTTGCTCTGTTCCTTTTATCTATTTCCATGTGTTTCATGTCACTCTAAATGTGTATCTTTCTTATTGTTCTTATTCTTTTAATGAGTGTACTAATTAACAAAGTTTTACTGCTTCTCAATTTCCTCTGTTCACCTATTGAAGGACTAGTGCGATATGATATTTTTCCAGTGATAGGACTCTTTTGATGCGTCAATTTTTTTTTCCCCTTCAGGAAGCATACAGGCAAAGCAATAATTGGTTACCTCCTGCCTGGGCTATAATGGCTATGATTGTACTCGGTTTCAACGAATTCATGCTTCTTTTAAGGTTTTTATTTCTATTGCACTTTCTTTATTTATTCTGTACGTTCTCTTCAAGCTAATTCAGTTTCTGTCGTCACAGAAATCCGCTCTACCTCTTGGTGCTTTTTGTTGTATATTTGTTGGGGAAAGCTCTGTGGGTACAGATGAACATTCCTGGGGAGTTCCGAAATGGCATTGTGAGTAAAATAGTTGTTCCTTGTTTTCATTTATGGCTTTACTCTTTTCCTGAGCTTAAGATAGGTTGTTTGAAGTTTGAACTAACTGATTCCTTGTCTGAACATCTGCTGTCTGTGTTCCTTCGCTTGAAAGATAAAACATCTGAAACATAAAAGTTTTTTAAAGATAGTGTCCCAACTCTGCTGCCTGTGATCACACATAAATGGTTTTTCAAGATAGAGGTCACTATTGCACTATGACTTGTTTTCAGCTTTGTCTTAAGCACATCAAGAAATAAAATAAGTTGCAAGTATAATTTTTCAACTGTGGGATTCAAGATTGAATTAATGATTTCTTAACTATAGAAGAATGGGTCCCAATTGAGCCCCAAGCTTTGGTAGTGGTAAGAGCATAGCAAATGGTACGTGAATTAGGCACACACCACGATTCGAACTCTTCCGCAGTCAAAAGCACTGTATTTAGATGGAAAAAGGGGTCCATTATCCACCGAGTTTCGAACTGTATGCCACTGACCCTTGGGATTTTTTAGTTATATAAAAAAAGAGGGTCCCAACAGAGGAAAGAGGAAAGAGGAAAGGAAGAGTGAGAGAGCATCGAGTGCATCCAGCCACATCGCTATCTACTTGAAATTATGTATTAAATATTAACATGTCTATATAACTTGTTTCTGCTGCCTTATCTGGAAATATTTGAGACTGTAAAATTTTATTTTGGTCCCTGAAGGCAGTTCTCTAAAAAGAAGACGACAACAACAACAACATACCGAGTACTATCCCACCCTGTGGGGTCTGGGGAGGGTCGTGAGTACGCAGACCTTACCCCCCTACCTTGTGAGGATAGAGAGGCTGTTTCCAATAGACCCTCAGCTCAGGAAAGCAACATTAATGAAAATATAGACAAGAAGGGATAGCACCAAAAAGCCATATAAAAGCAGAATGAAAACAACAAGATCGTAAGATTCTCTAAAAAGAAGAATGAAAAATATTTTCAGAAGTTATGTCCCTTGTGTCTCCAAATACATTTACTTGCTAGCTGAATGGTGGAGACGTGTGTGGGCTCAGAAGAATGATAACAGGAAAACTTCGACATTTATATGGCAGATGTCCAATTTTCAACATGTGTGATTCTTATAGGTGAGCAAGAAATTGGTGTAGGTGCCTTTTAGCCATGTGACTAAGGGAGGGAGGGAAGTTGGTCATTTTGGGAGAGGGACAGTTTAGTTCATAGCACAGGGAGGGTGTAGCGGCCTTAAGCATTGGGAATGCAAAAATTCTTATTTTGCTTTTGTTTTTTCTTCAAGTTTGTTCCCTATTATCGCAATGCGCTTTGGTGCAAGTGGAACCTCAAAGAGCTTAGATTTTGTTAAGTGGTCATGCATGGTGGAAAAATTGATAATGTTGCTGATTGTTTTTCCATTGGTCAAGTGTAAAATATCTTATTCTCTTGCTATGTATTTTAGTTGACTAGTAAACTGCTGACCTGAACCCAAAACCTTTAACTGCTCTAATATCATGGCTTTGTCTCATTTAGAAACTTGGGTTTGTATAAAGAAAAAGACAATAAGATGTTTGTCTGATTAACATATAAAATTCTAGTCTTCAAGTAATAAAACAAAATATTTCTTAAAGATAAAAAAACATTTGCCGGCTGGAGACCGTAAGTGACCCTATTCCATCAAAAAGGTTGAATCTTATCACTGTACCATCCCTTTCTCTCTCTCTCTCTTTTTTGGATAATCGTGGTATACATCAACTTGCGTGCATCTCGACTAGTTCCACCAGGTACCTGCTATCTCCCACCAGCACTGGTACTAGGTGACTTTGTCCATCAAGGTTAGGGCAAATGGGAAAAATAACCTAAGCCTCCGTCAAGATTTGAACCTGAAACCTCAATTACGTACCATCCCTTTCTCATTGTTTTTCCTTTTTGATCTCCACCTATTCCCTACCTACTGTTATGTTGAACTTCTTTTCCTCATAATACCTTCAATGTTATGCTAATAATTTTTAATGTTACTGTGGACCAGGGGTGGCAATTTGAGCCCAAACTCATTCAACCCGCCCAGAGATTAATGGGTTGGGCTACAAATATTTTAGCTCATGGGTCTATATGGGCTGAGCCCAAGTTAACCCATTATGTTTTATAGCCCATTCTGACCCATGAAGTAGCCCAAATACAACCCATGAAGCTCACCCAAAATAAAGGGATCTCAACCCAACTTATCTAGAAATATACTTAGTTGCCCCAATTTTACTTTTTTTTTTTTTTTTTTCATTTTGTTTTCCTTTTTTTTGCAGCCCCCCCCCCCCAACCAAATTTTTTTTTACTTTTTTTTTGTATTTTAAATTTTCTGTTTTTTCGTTTTTCTGCACCACCCACTCACCTCACCCGCAAAAAAATTTTCAACTTACACATTTTAAATACTAATTTGTTGCTTAAGAAAATATATTTTGATTCTCAAAATACTAATAGTAATTATTTACCTTTTATACATATGTGTATAAAAGGTAAAAGGCTTTGTTTATGCAAGATGAGCATGGTTCTAAAATATGGGTCAAGTTGGGCGGGTTGGGCTATGACCCATTGTTTAGCCCATCTTAGCCAAGTACACTTTGGGCTGGGTTGGGCAATGACCCATTTATTGACCTAATCCATCTTGACCTGCCCAAATTCAGCCCAACCCGCCCATTTGCCACCCCTATTGTGGACTGTGTGGTACACGCTTTTGACTATTCGAAAGTGGTAAGCAAGGTGAAGGGTTGCCAATTATAGTTGTGTTCTGAGAAACATCCAATCCAAATTTTCTTCAAAGGTTTCTCTTCAAATATAATCTTCCAAACACAAGTTATTTTCTAACGAACTTAGGAAATTTTTTGTCCCCAAAAAAGCTGTACGAGTGCCATAGTTATTTATTTTGTACTTTGTCTTCACCTCACTGATCAACGCTTAGCCCCTTTGAAGCAGATTCTTGAGATTAAGAAGACAAACTCTATTAGGTTCAGAATGTTATGATGTGGATAAAACACCTTTTTCCACAAGTCAATAATTTTGATAAAGTGCAGGATAACCGTTGCTTAGACAACCTTGAGCAGCAGGTTCTCAAATTAATGAATATTGAGATGAAAAGAATTATAGTAAGATTTGTAATTGGTGTTGAAGAAGCATTGACTAATTATGACTACTACTGCAGTCTGATGTACTTTAAGGATGCCTTCTTTTGTGAACCTTCCCTTTATAGTACTGCAGAATGTTGTATTTTTGTTTCTTCTCTAAATGGGGCACTTTTTTGCTTATTTCCCACCTCCATTTGGAAGGGAAGAGATACTAATTGTGTGAGTTCTCTGAAGTTAAGCTTTCCTTTTCTGCAGCTTGTTGGACTTATTTCCATCTCATCAAGGTTCCTCCCAACTTTTGCGGATCTTCTTCAACGACTAGCTGCTGAAGCTCAGGGAAATCCTGCTCCTGAAGCATCCAGGACGACCCACCATGTTGCTTCTCAGAGCTTTAGGAGTCAAGTAAATAGTCCTAATCCAGTGTCGAGTTCAGTTTCCAGTTCATCCAATATCTCAACTGAAAATGATTTCGAATACATGAGCCCTCAGCTGACACACAGAAGAGTTACTCAAATGGAACAGGAAGAATCTTCTTGATTTAGTAGAACAGACTTACACATATACATCTCTGCTAGAGCTAGAGAAGCTACTCCTGTAAATGATGTTTGTGTATTTATTTTGCTCTCCTTTTAACTCCACAATCCTAGGAAGATATTAGTGCTAAACGTGAAGCTTTTGGAGATTTATGGATCGACAAAGTTCACTTTATACTTGCTAAAATGCCATTTACTTGAATCAAGTTTGATGAATCCATCTTGTCATGTTCGCTTTTTGTTTTATTTTCTGCTGTCTCTTGGCTTTCTTTGAATTCTCTCTTGCATTTGAGTACCTTTCAGGCAACTATCATATGGCATCTAAAATATGACGTTGCTATTAATTTGTTATGTTAATTATTTGGCGTGGTACTAATTACAACTGTCTTCATGAAAATCAGCTTTTTACAGAGCAAGTCAAAATAGCTACTAATTATTAGGGAATTTGGAGAATTATAGATGTGGAAGATCACAAGAGGAAAAAAGGAGAGCTTGCTCCAATAGAAGGAAACAACTATAATCACAACTCTAAACTTTAGACCATTTTATTTCTCCTGTTTTGGATCAAGCAATTGGATCATGGTGGAGGTGGTCCATAAGGTCCTGCAGGCCTGGGTGAGCCCATTGGGCGTCCAAAACAGTCTTGTAATAACCAGCAGCAGCAAAACAAGCTCAGGCTGTAGAATATCAAATATCAAGCTTAAGGTAAATGTCATAACAACTGAATCAAACTTAAATAATAAAATGGGGAAAAAAAATTTATATTTAGAATTTAGAGGCAAAAATAATCTACCTAAAAGTTCTGTTTTCCTTTTTCTTTTTCGCGCTCATAACTAACCGATAAAATTAAGGTGAAAAAACAGAGTTTATAGAATATTTTACCAAGAGCCTATAAAGTTGCAAAAACTACCAACGAAACCAGCGGGTCCTACCGGACCTTGAGGGGGACCCAACCCAGGCGGCCCTCCAGGTGCAGGCATCAGTTGGGCTCCCGGACCTTGAGGAGGGCCCCACCCAGGCGGCCCTCTAGGTCCAGGCATCGGTTGGCCTCCCGGACCTTGAGGTGGTCCCCACCCCGACAGCCCTCCAGGTCCCATTCTCACTAAGGTGAAGCACACCACTACTAAGGCACCAAAGCCAAATTGCCGGTACTAATAACAACTATTTATATTTTGGAACCAACTTGTGCTTGATATAATATAGAGATTAAGTAGCTATATATACTAATATGACCAAGTCTCATCTACCCTTCTCCAATCAACTAGTCAGAAGCTAAAGCCTAACCTAATCTTCTTTCCTTCTACTTCTACTGTTTACCGCACGCAAATAACTGCATTCAACACAAGTCTGATTGTTTGAGTCTAAACATAAAATTCATAAAATCTTTTCGTCAAAGTTTAAGGGATTGTTAACAATGTGTATTCGTTTGAAGTATCAGTTAGTATTTGTTAAAAACAACTTGTGATAAAATAGAACAAACTTTTTGTAATGATCACTTTATCATCAAGTCTTATGCCTAGGTTTGATAATCGGAGACATTTAATACTACTTGATAAAGCATAGAATTAGCTACAAGTGGTTATTAGTATATAAGATGATGGTCCTTTTTTCTTTTTTTTGATATATCTATATTCGAAATATCATTTAATTTTTAGGGTATAATTATCATGAAATCTGTTGAAGGTCCACTAGTTTCTAAGTATAACTTGAAACACATAATAGCCAAAATCCTTGAAGGTGTCTTTTTCTCAAACTTTTGAAATGCTGATCTGGAAAACTTAAATTTCCCGAATAAACTTTAACAGCATTACCATTTTATAAAAATAAAAGAAACTCAACTAACTATTCACTATCACAACATATCTTAATTTTATTCTCAAATCAGCAAATTTTAAACTTTAAACAATGAGCATCGAATTTTGAAAGTCAAACTGCTCGATACTCTATATTACAATTTCAGCCTATTAACTTACGTTCTTAATGCTATATTGTTAATTATTCAAAAAGCTAATACTATTAATCCAATATGTGGATTTCGCACGGGCAGGGTGGCTCAAGGTGGAGGCTAGTAAAACCTTTGCTTTAGGCCCCCTAAATTTTTGGGCCAAAAAAATATTTTTAGTCGTGAACTTTCAATCTTATTTTGGCTTAGGAAGTTTATAGAAAAAAGAAAGAAAAAAATACAAAATCCTTATAAAAAAATGTCACGACCCTAAACCCGGACCCAGTCGTGATGGCGCCTCTCGTGAAGACAAGGCCGGCCGACACACTTCCAATTCACTTTAAGCAATTAAAATAATAAATACTAAATCTTTAACAGAAATAAAATCCCAAAATAAATAGTGAACAGTGCAATTTGCGGAATTAAAACCAACACAGCCCGACATCGGGGTGTCACAAGTCATGAGCATCTAAAATAATACTACAAGTTTGAAAGTCTACTCCACCACTACAGAACTGAATCGGAAAGGAAATAAGATAGAAGGAGAATGCACTGGGCTGCGAATCGCCGGGCAGCTACCTAGTGAATCTCCGAAAATCTGCTGGACAGCTCTCAACCCTCGCTAGCAGGACCTGTAGCGCCTGAATCTACACACAGAGGTGCAGGGAGTAAAGTGAGTACTCCAGCTCAGTGAGTAATAACAATAAATGAAGACTGAGCGATACAAAATCACGTTAAACACAACAATAAGCTATAAGAGGCAGAACAAAATCAGCAAACACAATTAAACAGTGAAATCTCATAAAATACCTTTTAAACAGTTAAACAAATAAGGAAAAGCAACTAGAAAAGGTACACACATAAGTGTCACACCTCCTTTTTACACACGTACCCCCGGAAGGATAGTGTATAAGGGAGTTTTTTCACTTTAAGTGACATTATTCGAAATGGGATTATTTAATGATCAGAGTCCACTTGGGATAGGTTTGGTTTTCGGTGTCCCAAATCACCGGTTTATCTTGGATCCCAAATCGAGGAAATTTTCGACTTTCTAAGTGAAGTCTGCGAACCAGAAATTCTGACTAAGGAATTCTGTTAACCCGAGGGAAGGTGTTAGGTACCCCCGGGTTCCGTGGTTCTAGCACGGTCGCTTAAACTATCATAATTGGCTTAGTATCTGATTTTAAAACATGTTCATCCTATAGTGCAATTTAAAATTATTTACCGCTTTTAATTGATTTTTAGGAAGATTGAATGTCGTTTAAAACGTGTTTTTGGATCACGTCACATGAAATGCACCCGGATTCGAAACACATTTTACTCAACGTTTTAGGATTTAGATTTGGGTCACATGAAATGCGCACCCGAGTTTAAGAAGGTAATATTATTAAAGGACGAGCCTAAAGCAACTAGCGTGTTTATATCTTTGCGGGAGGCCATGAAAATTCGTTAAATGGCACGTCCCGATTTCTAAGTATTTTTATGGAAGTAATTAAAGAGGGCCATGCAATTTATGATTTTATTGGGCGCGGCGCACCTCAATTTCATTTTTAGAGGATACTAGACTAAGGTTGAAGGGTCATGAACTATTATGTTATTTAAGACGGCCTTCCTAAAATTAGATATGGGCTATGAATTTAAGATCTAGTAACTAAATACAAAGACTAAGGTGACACAACTGGGCCTGAACAAGAGGCCCAATATTTAATGTTTGAATCCTTGAGGCTGCCTGTATACTAACGCCCCAGCTATAAAGCTGTTCAACATTTTGGGCCCCTAAACAGGCCCATTTTTAATCACCTGGGCAGCCCATTATTTATACTTCAAGTAAAAAATATAAAAATAAACTTGAATTTGTTTAACCTCTTTTAAAAAACGGAACTAGCTGGTTTTGGCCCATGAATGAGCCTAAGTCAAATACTAATTCTAATTTTGGATCTCAAAATACTGATTTTAAATCATAACTGGACCTAACAATTTTGTAACCAAATAAACAACTCAAACTTATTCAAATCACAGGTATGCTGACCCTTAAATTCAACTCTCACACACAGATTCAACTCGTTTGTATATTGATGAATTAACATACTCAATCTGGAATTTTAACAACCATTTAATGCCATTACTTTTAAAAGCAACTCACGAATCCTCAAATTAACATGAAATACGATGTGAAGTATTATACTGTTTTGAATTGTAGACTAACTCTTTTGGATTTCACTTTTCAACAAGCACATGATGAACAAACTAAAGTAACTAGCACATTTAAGCTACAGGAGATGATGGATTTCACATTAGTATGAGCATACATGCTACTTCTTATTTTAAATTCCAAACTAACATGATAACAAGACTAGAATTAACTATACTACAGCTAATGTTATTAACAGGATACTCATATAATTATGAAAACAGTCCAACAGTCTGGGTTATTACCAATGATGCAATGTCCAAGTAAACACAACTATATTAGGCATTTAAAACTAAAGTAGAACAGAGGGAAATTCATAAGAGGAAATCAGGTAGCATTTCATCATTATCTTCCAATTTTGGTCACACATTTGCTGATTCAGTTCTTCATAAATCATTAGAGGCCAAAAAGAAGTACCTGGAAGTTAGAACAAAATGAAGGGAATTGGAGGTCAGCTAGGCAGCAACACAATAACTGATGCAATTGCAGCAGAAAATCAGCAAATCCGAAACAAAAACCCAGGAACAGGATGCAGTAACTCCAACACTAAACTTCAATCAACCAAAGGACCCGGTTGAACTTAAAACCAGACTTTGATGGTTCAAATTGACCCTTAATAGGTGAATTCCATCTAGTTTCAGCACTTGGAAGTGAATTTAAACTGCTGAAACTTGATGAAACAGTAGATCTTTGGATTTCTAGGCTATTTTTTGTTGATTTTTCAGGATTTTTGTTTTGAATTCTAAGTTCTAAACTCTATATACTTAAACTCTCAAATTCTGCAGAAAACTTTGTTGATTTTCAGTATTCCCTCCCAAAATTTCTAGCTTCTAAACTTTTGAATTTCAAATTTCAGATCTCTGGACTTAAAACTTCTTTTGCAAGGCAGGGCTACTGCCCTTTTATAGGCAAAATTAGGGCAATTTTCAGACTTTTACTTTACACCTAGCCCCCCCTCTTTATTTTCAGTTTTTTAGCTTAAAGTCCTTAAAGGACTGACTTGTTACCCAAGTTACACCACTCAATTTCCTGAAATTTTAATGAGAACCCCAATCTAGAAGGGTCTAGGGGGTTCTACTCTTAGTTACTGCAGGATTTCCTATTTTGAATTACCCTAATTACCCTTGACTTCAAACCTGAATTACTAACCCAGGTTAAACTAACCCCCAACCCTTTTAACTTGGTCAAAAAATGACCATGGTTAATTACCAAGGGCCCTGAAATGTTCAGCAGTACCAAACAACAATCAACTATAACCAAAAACCCAAAACCTTAACACAAATCCAAACAATCCTAAATTAGGCTTGAATTAACTATTGAACTCATAATTGAAACTACTGCTATCTATTATAAATCAAACAGAAAATTAAGAAAACAAAACAAAAATTAATCAAAACACAGAATCATGTTATCAAGACGAACACAGAAGAAGAAATTAAAACTTAACAAAAGAATCTAAAAAAAACTGGCAAGCAAAAACAAGGCACCATTATTAATCATGACGAAGAACTAAACATCAAAGGGAAGCCGATTTCAGTCACAAGAAAATTCAACTATGCGGAGAAAAGAACAGGAGATGAAAAAAGGAAAACAAATAAAGAAATAAGATAAAACTTACTGATTCAGGCCTCTAATTTGAATGACTTTCATGTTTAATTCCCAAATAATGTTATCTGCTTATTCTTTGCCAAGAACAAGCAAATAACATCATTTGAGAACCAACGGAACAACTGGGAACCTCTGCACGGCTTGGACTTCAACTTGGACTTTGAACATAAACCCTAGATCTAGGATTCGAGGGATTTTAGCTGGATTTGAGGGGATCTAGTTTGAGATTTGGGGAGAGGGGGTCAGGGTGAGTCCATGGTGTGATTTTGGTGGAGATTGGGTGAGGTGCCGCCGTACACCGCGGAGGAAATCAAGGGCGGCGCCCTAGGGTTTGGATTTTTGGGGCTTTCCTGTCAAAATTGAGAGAGATCAGTGGTGGTATGAGTATGAGGAGGGTGAGAGGAGTCCTTAGTGAAATTTTGAGGGCGAATGGAGG